TCAAATGGTAGGAGTGTCAGCTTTGACTGAAAAAGCTAAGTGACAGCAAGAGACTCTGAGTTCAAGTCCCAGTACTGACACAAAAGACAGGTTTCTACTGTTTTCTTGCAACTTGTATTTTTCTCTACCTTAAATATATCTGTCCATGGGGTTTAAAGTGTGGCTCAGGAGTGTCAGCCAGCAAGTGTAAGGGTCAGGGTTCAAGTCCAGGTCTTAGACAATAAAAAAGAAAAGAAAAATATCTGTCCAACTTTCCTCTCCCTTTATTCTCACAAGTGGTTAAGTGTAGACTTCAAGATAGTGACTTTCCTTGATCCAGTTCTTGGGGATCCGGAACCCATTAGTGACTTTCATCATTTCAAATATTGTATTTTTTCAGTTCTAAAATGTCTATGTTGTTTTATTTTTGATAGTTTTTTATGTTTTTATTGTAAAGATACTGTACAGAGGGGTTACAGTTACATGAGTAAGGTAATGAGTACATTTACTATCGAGCATTGTTACCTCCTCCTTTGTTTTTCCCCTACCATCCCTTCCCTCCCACCTTCGCAACACCCCCTCCCTCCCCCCACAAGTTGTAAAGTTCATTTTCAACATAGTGTCTTGTATATCTCATTGTTACAATGGATCAACCTGTATCCTTATTTAGAATTTTGTTATTTCCCTTCCCCTCCCCAAATTAGAAAAATGTATATACAAGATGCAGGGCAGGGCTGGGAAGGTGGCTCAGTGGTAGAGCGCTTGCCTTGCATGCATGAGGCCCTGAGTTCGATTCCTCAGCACCACATAAGCAAAAAGAAAAAAGCCGGAAGTGGCGCTGTGGCTCAAGTGGTAGAGCCCTAGCCTTGAGCTGAAGAGCTGAGGGACAGCGCCCAGGCCCAGAGTTCAGGCCCCACGACCAGACCCCCCCCCCAAAAAAAAGATGCAGGGCAGTGGATACAGTAAAAACAGGTGTTATACCATGGGGGAAGAACATACAAAAGAAAAAAAAAATCATGTAGTACATTAATACATAAATACGTTAAAAAATAGTTTTGATAATTAGAAAAAATTCCACTCTTTTTTTTCTTTTTAACTCATTTCAAATGTACTTCTCTTTGTCTCAAGGATGACATTTTTGGTAAAGATCTGAGATACCTTTTCCTTCAGTTCTGGTTTGAACTCAGAGCCTTGCGCTTGCTAGGCTGTCATTCTGGTACACAAGCCACACTCTCAGCCCTTTTTTCCTCTAGTAACAGCTAGAGTCAGTTCTCATAGTTTTGCCCATGGCAGGCTTAGATTGATGATCCTCTGTAGCCTCCTGCATAGCTGGAATGACAGATAGGAAACACCACCACAGTGAGCCTGCTGGTTGATATGGGGTCTTGCTAATGTTTTGCCAGGCTAGCCTTTAATTATGATTTTCCTGATCTCTTCCTCATGAGTAGCTGAGATTACAGGTGTGAGCCACTGTACCAGGTGGTTTTTAAATGTTTATGTGATATTTCTAACATCTTTCATTTTGGCATTGACATCTGTTGTCTTCCTTTCTCCTTGGAAATTGCCCATGTTTTCCTGATCCCTTGGATGTCAAGAGAATTTTAGCTTGTATCCTTAATGTTTTGAAGATGATGTGTGGTTTCAGGCTCCTGCTATAATCCCCTGGGAATTTTTTTCATGGAGGAGGGAAGGGCCAAGAATGGTTTGAATCCAGAATCAGCCTCACTGGGCTCTGCCTCTTCTTCTGAGAGCTGTGATGTCAAATTGTGTTCCATTTTCCCCAGTCCATGCTGGCTGCTGTGTGCCTGTCTCGTATCTACACCACTTCGGGCTTTGTGTGTCAAGGTTCAGATCTGCCTTTAGTTTTCACCATCCTTGGAACAGGACTTTGGGTCTCGTGTATGTGATTGACATTCAAGGCGAGCCTGTCTCGATGGAGTCATACACCCTTTCCACCTCTCCTCTGCCAGTCTGCATCCCAACCTACACAGAAACCTCTTTTCCTGGTTCCTCATGCCAGAGAGATCAAGAGTTTCGGTCATGTGCTGCCGCTGAACCTGCCTCCAGAGAAAAGCCATGAGAGAAAGCAGCACCAGAGACTCACCCCCTCTCCATGTTTTCTGACCCACAGGAATCTCTTTCTGCAGTGCCTCTCTATGAGTAGAAAAGTGAGTTTTCTATAAGAGTTTCAAGCTGAAGCTTTTCAGTCCACAGCTGGCATCTACCCTCAGTTCAAAGCCATGGGAGCAAAGAGGGAATAAATACCTGGCTCATTTTTTCAACCTCAAAAGAATTGCTTTATCTATTGGAAGCAAGGCCTTCAAAGTGGTATGGGTCCATCAGTCAGGGGCCAATCAGGAGTCAGCACCACACAGTAACTTAAACGGGGAAAGTGTGAGATCAATAGTTTGGGGGGTTGGAGTTGTAGGGGATGAGCTAGTGAGAAGTAAAGGGCACACTAAAGAATATAGAAATGTTGATTGTAAGAACCAACTTCAATCTCCAGGGCTATTGTGGAGAGCCCAAAGAACAGCCAGGCTGGGATGGAGGCCTCGCTAGAAAGTGTGGCTGCTGTTCACAGTGGGGCAAGCCAGTGGAACTTGGAAATCTTTAACCAAGGTGCACCAAAACTCCACCTGCTTGGGTATTGGAGGTTTTTCATAGTTATTTGGTAGGAGGCACTAGGCTTTGGAACTATCCAAGAGGGTGTGGCAAGTGGAGAAAACTGGCTGCGAGGTGCTGCCAGCTGTAGGGTGCTTCCAGCTTGTGGGAGCACTGATTGCTAGATTTGCTGGCAGCTAGTGCTGCTACTGTTGTGTGCTATATGTGTCTATTGTTATAGAAACCATTTGTGCTGCAGGAACCAGGCATTGGAGAAAGCACATGCTGCCTGCAGGGAAACCATGAGGAAGAAAAGTCCCTTAACTCCTACAATGTCTCTCTAATACTCATGAAAATGCCTGCTGAGGTGAGTGCCAGTAGCTCAAGCCTGTAATCCTAGTTACTCAGGAGGCTGAGATCTGAGGATCAAGGTTTGAAGCTAGCCCAGGCAGGAAAGTTTGTGAGACTCTTTTGTCTAGTGAACCACCAACAAGCCAAAAGTGCAGCTGTAGTTTAAGTGGTAGAACACCAGCTTTGAGCAACAAAAAAAATTCAGAGATAGCTCTCAGGTACTGAGTCCAAACCCCAGAACCAGCAAACATACCTCAAAAAATGTCCACTGACATAGCTCAGCATTAGGAGAACTCCTGAAAGAGAGAGGAGGCAGAGAGAGAGAGAGAGAGAGAGAGGGAGAGAGAGAGAGAGAGAGAGAGAGGGAGGGAGGGAGGGAGAGAGAGAGAGAGAATATGTGTAGGGGGATAAGATCCATTTTCACAGAGCAGACAGTGAAAGGTGAATTTGGGGCTGAGGCTATATATTGATCACTGATGCCAGAAAGGTGAAAGTCTGACTGAAAAAGGCATCAAAGTCACATGGGGATGTTGCTGCCCCATGGGATGTGTGTGTGTGTGTGTGTGTGTGTGTGTGTGTGTGTGTGTGTGTTAAGCATGGGAAATAAGGTGGAATGTCAGAAGTCCCTCAAAGCAGAGGGCAGGAGGCTAATGAGTCTAGGGCTGGGTAGGCCCAAGACATGAGTAAAGTACGCTGTAGGTCCTCATGTTAGCTGGGCCACACAGAGTATGTAAAGATACAAAATATGCTTCTGCTCTTTAAAGAAAAGCTCACACCTGTAATCCTAGCTTCTCAGGAAGCTGCGATCCAAGATAGTGATTTGAAGCTAGCAGAAAAGTTCTCAGGATTCTTATCTCTAATTAACCAGCAAAGGACCAGAGATAGGAAATGTGGCTTAAGTTAGAGTGTATCCGCTTTGAGCAAAACAAACCTAAAGGAACCACTGAGGACTCAAAGCAAGGAGAGCCATAAGCAACTTTTTACGGGAGGAAAAAAACCTCCCTAGCGGTATTATTGATAACCCAGTTGGCAGGGGAGCAAGAACAGGGGCAGAAAAACCAAGAGGTTCCTGTAATGATTCTAAATGATCGGGCAAGAGGAGGCGGGACCCAGGAGCAGTGGGAGGGCTCAGCTGGGGCATTGCTAGGCAATGCGTAGAGAGAAGCAGAGAAGCAGGTTGCTTGCACTTGTGTTCAGAGCCTCTGGTCTCAATCTCCTCTACCTTCTGCCACTGTGACCCCTCCTTAAGAGAGCCTGCACTCTCTTTCTCCAGTGTCTTCTCTTTAAGATAATAATTTCTCTCCTGGGCATCATCCTAGGAGGGTGGGCTGGTGGGTGTGGCTCAGAAGGAGAGGCTGGAGAGTCTTTGTGAAGGTAGCTTAGTAAGTTTATTGAAAACCCAGCAACACAAAGAACAGTACAAACAGGCACCCACCCACCCCCAGCTTTCTGGAGCAGCTTGCAGACACAAATACAGCTGTGGCCACAGCTGGTGGTTATCACACCTCCCCGCCCACACCCCACCAAGCCTCTGGGACTCACAAGCCAACAACCAGCAAAAACAAGTAGCTAGGACAGGCCACTGGGAGAAGAACCGTCACAAGGAATTCCTAGACCACCAGGACTGTGGGTCTACCTGGGACAAGAAGAGAAGGAAAGAAGGGATCTCTGCCTGGGAAGGGAGGAAGAAGGAGCAAGGGAAGGAGAGGGCTGAGGATGCTTGCTGGGATGTGGGCCCAAGCTATGGGGGACCATGGTGTCCACATTCATGCTTTTGGGGGGCTTTGCATGGCCTATTTTGCCCCTAGGTTGCATTTCTTTTTGCAACTTTACTGAATCTGCATTTCTGTAGGTTGTGGCTGGGGAATGAGAAGGATCCAATGAAACACAATTGGAAGGCAGGAAAAGGTAGAGCTGGGATGAAAAGATCTTTCAAGAGCCCTGGCTTGGCATCCTGGCAGAAAATGTGGCTAGAGACTCCTTAAGCCCAGGCTCCGTGCTCCTCAGCAGACAGAAATGGGATGCTCAGCTGGTTCTTCTTGGCTTCGTGGTCATTCGGGCCTCGGCTCTCAGTATCTGGCCCGGCGAGAGGTGGTAGTAGATGAGAAGCGGACACTGGAGCTACGATTGCCCCGGCCACCACTACAGCTGCTGAAGCCACCTTCCGTGGGCAGCGGGCAGGGGACACTGGGGATGCAGGCATCACCCACCAGCACCGAGCCCCCTCTGCTGCCTGCACTTAGCAGCTCCCCACTAGCCAGAGTGCTCCGGCCCCCGCCTAGGCTGGAGCCACAGGAAGTAAGGACCCCTCCAGTGGCCCGGATGCTGCTGCTGCTTCCTCCACAGGAGAAGGTGGAGCTGGCGAAGGGCTCAGGGCCACACACCATGCCACCCCGGGAGCTGCTCACAGCTGTGGAGAAGATACAGCAGAGCAGTTAACTCTGGAAGTCAGTGTCCACTCAGTGGCTCAAAGATCAACCACATCGGCACACATCCATATATGGTCATTTACATATGGTCCAGGTCTGTTGGGTTGTAGGAGGTGGGTAGCGGGCCCTAGAATGCACAGCTTTTGTGCATTATATAAAGTCACAGAGCAGCCATGGCTGGTAGCTCATGTCTATAATCCTAGCTATTCAGGAGGCTGAGATCTGAGGATCAGAAAAGTCTGTGAGATTCTTAACCACCAAAAATTCAGAAGTAGAGGTGTGACTCAAGTGGTAGAGTGCTAGCCTTGAGTGAAAAAGCTAAGGAACAACACCCAGGCCCTACACACGTACATGCAGGTACGTGTGTGTGCACATCCATACACACACACACAGAGCTTCTCTCTAACATCTTTCCCCTGTACCAGAATACACAAGAAAATAATTTACATAAGTCCTTTGTTACCTCTCTCTTGCTCCAGTGGAGACTGCTCTATAGTCCAGTGGGGAACTTGCACAGACCCAAGATGCAAGACTTCAGTTTAGCTAACCAGTGCTAAGTCCAGGCCCACCTGCCTACTGCACTCCTTGCTCTCAGAAACTGCAAGACCAGGAACTTCCACTTTACCTGGAGAAGTACTCGCTCTGTAGCACATACCTTCCCAAATCTCTATGTCTCTGAAGACAGGCCACTCAAAGCAAAAAGAACTGACTCTCTTCTACAACATTCTCCCACCTGGGATGCCTTGCAAGCCCTTCTTAGGTGATCCATGCTCAGGGAGGACATGGGAATCCCAGAGCTCAGGGAGGACATGTTTCCAGGCCAGGGGCACCTGTACCCCACTCCCTTGAATGACTTAGACAGTGCAGCCACCTTGAGAGTCTTCTGATCCCAATGTCAAACATCCTAAGTTTAAAGAAAATTTGAAGGTCAAAGAAATGTGAAAAGTAAAAGACATAAGTAACTTACATATATTTACTGGTCCAACACCTTCACAGATCCTGGTGAGAGAGAGAAAAAGAACCAAATCAGTTCACATGCACTGTCCTTCCCTGAAGTCTGAAAGATGGGCGTCTGGCCTGGGTGGACCAGTGGACCATTGGGTCTCATCCTGGCTGTACATACATCTGAGGAGCATTGAAAATGTCATGTTCACTGGGTGTTGGTGGCTCCCTCCTGCAATCTTAGCTACTTAGGAGGTTGAGATCTGAGGGTTGCAGTTCAAAGCCAGCCCTAGACAGAAAATTCTGTGAGACTCTTATCTCCAAATAACCAGCAAAATGACAGAAGTAGAGGTAAGGCTCAAGTGGTAGAACACCAGTCTTGAGTTAAAAAGCCAGGTGAGAACATGAGACCCTGAGTTCAAGACCCAGTACCAACACAATAAAAAGGGAGAAAGGAAAGGAAAATAGCACATTTCTAGAGCCTCCGCTGACACTGTGGAATTAAAATATTTGAGGTATGTTATTTTTAGTTTTCACAATCTCACGAATCAAGTAAAATTCCTTATGACCTGGTTCCAGCTTGTATACAAACTTGGATTTGAGAGCACCCATCTGGACGGCTTTGAACTATCATCCTCAGATTTCAGTCTCCTGAATAGCTAGGATTATAGGAATGAGCCAAGGGGTAGCCGGCTGGAGCCACTTTCTAATCTTCTGTCAAGGGCAACCAACTAATGTTTGCAGGAAATGTACTGTCATCTGTAGAGACTGCTCCTATCAGCATTTCTTCACCCAGTTCCCTCCCCTGACTCGGTTCATCATTCTAGATACCTAAATCTGATCTCGCCTCCTCCTACTGCCTTGAAGTGCACTTACCGGATCTCCTCCCCTTCCAGAAGCTGCCGGTAGGTGGCGATCTCGATGTCTAGGCCCAGCTTGGCGTTCATGAGCTCCTGGTACTCCCGCAGCTGCCTTGCCATGTCCTGCTTGGCCTGCTGCAGGGCGCCCTCCAGATTTGCCAGCTTGCACTTGGCATCATTGAGGGCTGCTTCACCCTGCTGCTCTGCCTCAGCTACTGCTGCTTCCAGCTTGGCACACTGCAGGGAGAGTGGGGGGGGGGTCTTCATGCATTTTGGTAGGGGGGAGGCTCCCATGTGGGGTTAGAAACGCTACCCTTCCTGGTGGAGGAAGGGAGGGAAATCAGTGCCATGCCAGAGATGGAGCCTCCTGTGGCTGTTTTCTCAGGGGTAGGAACCCCATAGTTTACTGCAGGGGAACACTATTCTTAGTTTTCATCCTTTCTAATTTTACCCTTCCTGATCTCTGCTGTCCTGAGACCCATGGAGTATAGTCACCTGCTCTTTCTGCCTCCTCTGTTCTCTGAGTCAGCCCTGAGCCTTTCCTTCTGCATGGAAAATTCTCCCTCCATTCTGTATTTTTTTTTTTCCTCACAGGAATCCTTCCTGAGCAAATCCTCCATCATCAAACTCAGAGCTCCCCCTAACTAGGGGCCCTGCCTTGCCTCCTCCCTCTGTGGCTTCCTCTTACTTCCTTTGCCCACCTGAGCCTTGGTGTGCTCCAACTCTGCCTTCAGTCTCTGGATCAGCCGGGTCAGTTCGTTGATCTCGTCCCGTGTGTGGCGGAGGTTGTCACAGTGCTGACCGGCCGTCACCCGCATCTCCTCATACTGGGGGAGCCGGGAGGGGAGAAAAGGGGGATTTTGAGGACTCCAAGACCTGTGGTTCAAGGCCACAGGCCCTATTGGATTGGGGAACCTCAGCCCTCCCTAGTCTTCCCCCAAGGCTTCTTCTTGCCCACCTTGGTCTGGTACCAGGTCTCAGCATCAGCACGGCTACGCCTGGCCACCTCCTCATATTGGGCCTTGACATCAGCAATGATCCCATCTAGGTTCAAGTCCCGGCTGTTGTCCATCTTCACAATGACTGAGGTTTCTGAGATGTGTGACTGGAGCAGCTGGATTTCCTGTGATGGAGAACCAGTAGGCAGATGGCTAAGAGTGCCATCAGTGGCTGGGACTCTGCCAATGGGTCTCCAGATTGAGAGGCCAGGGGCAGAGAGGTTATGACAAGGAAAGACCATTCAAACAGAGGGAAAGAAAAACAGAAAAGTCTGAAACCCTTGGTCATAACCTTAGAGACATCTCTCTACCACTCTACCTGGCATAGGTGAGCATCAAACCATAGAGACCTTGGGGCTTAGTGGGGAGGAATGGGGACTGTGGGAAGCTTTAGCTTCTTTTTGGCTTATCTGGAAAGTGGCTGTGCTATTTACAGTCCACAGAGAGCTGACAATATTTTAGAATACGATAATCTCGGGATTCCTATATCCCAAGTCCTTCATGGAACCAGAATAGGGGTAAAGTGAAGGCTCTGGTAGGCGTTTTTGGCCTTAAAAACCATGCTCCAGCGAGGTCTACTCCAGATGAAACAGATCACCGACAAAGCAAAAGAGAGCCAGTTAGTCTGGCCAATGAGATCAAACACAATTCTTCTCAGATACAGAAAGCCAAACTTCCAGTGTTCCTTATCCCGAAGTAGGAAGGCCTAAGGACTAGGCCTTAGTCCTTCAATCTAAGGACTGAGGAAGATTTGAACCATAGATACAAGGCCTGAGTCAGAGAAGCCAGCTTCCCTGACCTTCTCCAGATGTAGATACATCCACATAGACAGCATATAGGTTTGAGTGGGAGCAAGACATGTGATGCCAGTGTTTAAAATCACCCCAGCCTGACTAAGCCCTCAGGGAGTGCAGACTAAGTGCTTATTTCCTTGCCTGCCTAGAGAAGCTGAGTCTTACCTCCAAGTACAGGACCTTCAGGAACTCGATTTCCTGACTGAGAGTATCTGCGTTGGCTTCTAGATTAGATTTATTCACGAAAGCAGTATCCACGTCCTGCACGAGAGAGTGGGGGGGGGGGGAGGGAGAGGGAGAGAGAGAGAGATATCAGATGCTCATTAGTTGTATGCTGTTACCTTTCCTACCTAGGCAGGATCTGGAGACAGGTAGGAAGCCATTGGGTGGAAATGAAGCCTGGTACAACATGGAAACTCCCCTAGTGGCTGCTGGACATTTTCCTGTCCTTCTTTAAAAGGAAAGAAACTAGATAATTCAAGACAGAAAAGATCATGTTTTTCTGACCTCTGCTCTTGCAGAACCAAATCTTAAATAATCAAAGCTGAATCAGAACTTCAGAGGGGACCTAATGTGATGGTTCTACCATTCTGAGTATTTCTAGGCCCCCCAGAGTCAGGAAGTTGTTTTTTTTATTGGGGGGGGGGGTGGGTGATGGGGATAAGTAGAGAACTTGTGCATGCCTAGAGGAGATGTTTGTCTGGACCTTTGGTCTCCCTTACCTTCTTCAGGGCCACAAACTCGTTCTCAGCACTGGCTCGGCATCCTACCTCCTCTTCATACCTGGAATGGTAATGATGAGGAGGGTGAGTCCTCACTCTGAGTTATAGCCAGTCTTCTCCAAGTCCCCAGAGAACCTCTGAGAAGACACTTGGTTTTCTGCGTGTGGGTCTCTGTTACCACCCACATGCTAATCTTTGTCTCAGTCCCATCTTGAAAACCTTCCCTGAGTCTGTGGTCCTCGAGTTCCTCCACATTCTCAGCTTGGCTTTGGAATCTGAAAACATGACCATTGCTATGCTTCTCTGTCAAGAAACAACTTAGGGTCATTGTGTTTGACCCCAACGGGAGGTAGGACCTAACTCAGTGCTGAATGTGGGCATTGTTTTCAGGACCAGAGAAGGGCTCCTGTTTCTGGGGTCAATTCACTCATCAACAGTATTAGGGATACACTGCCCAATTCCAGGTCTTCCTCTTCCTCCCCCTTCACACGTTCCTACCCCCCACCCTCTCCAGGTGTTCCCAGGCTGGGGTTTATAACCAACATGTGATCCCAATCCTTCTAGCTTCTCTCCTTTGCCTGGGGCTGCTGCTCTGAGGACAAGCCCATGACTGTCCTTGATGCGTACAGCCCAGATGCCACTCACTTCTTCTTGAAGCCCTCCAGGACATCCTGCATGTGGTTCCTCTCTGCCTGCAGCCGTGCCTGGTCACTGACTAGTGCTTCCAGCTGCCTCCGGAGTGAGGTGATGTAGTTCTCAAAGAGAGGATCCAGGTTGCTCCGGGCACATTTTTGCTCTTGGAGGAAGCTCCACTTGGTCTCTAAGAGCTTGTTCTGTTGCTCCAGGAACCGCACCTAAATAAGTAGGAACAAAGCAATGGCATTTGAAGTGTCACTTCCTCCACCATGTGTCCCCTCTGTGGACTCTAAGTTAGGTCTGTGACCTCCCTGTGATCATCCAGGCTTTGCTACTGTTAAGATACCTGTCAGTACCATTTCCATCCCCTACCCCCAAACAAGGTATAAACCAGGTCATAGGGTAGTTGGGAAGATGGATGCTGCTTGTGCCCTCATATTTCTATATCTGAGGATGAGTGGCAGCCACCTCTAACAGAGAATAAGGAATAGAGGGAAGAACATTTGGGGTGAGCTATGGTACTAGGAGGTAGGATTCTGGAATCATAATCCAGCCATACCTACCATCTCAGATATTCCATCAGTGGTGATAGGTACAGTGGAAGAGAATCTACAGCTCCTTTGCTCCAACTTTATGTTTGAGAGAACCAAGCTAGCTCACCGGCGTTCCTCACCAGCTATAGACACAGCCTACCTCCCATATGCCTATGGATGTGGCCTGGGGGGATGAACCACCCCTCTGTTCATCTGAACACTCTGTTCATCTGAAGACCGAGAATACAAGTGACTGTGCCCATATTCTCCTGTAGCATTCTGAAGATCAGTGACCATCAGAGGCTATTCCCAATTTGGGCCATATCTTAGTAGCCCATGGGAATTAGGGTATAAATTATTTTTTAGGCAGTACTTGAGCTCAAACTCAGGTCTTTGAGCTTTCTGTTAAGCAACACCCCTTAGCCCCATTTGGTTATTTTATTTTTTTAACTAAAGTCTTACTTCCTAAGTAAGTGCATGGCTAAACCATGATCTGCCTACTTTTAGGTTTTCTCTTTCACTGGGATCACAGTTATGTACTGCTATATCTGGCTTCCCTCTGTAAAGATAGAGTCTCACTGACTTTTCTGCTTCAGTTGGACTGGTACTTGGATCCTTCCCAATCTTAGCTCCCATGAAGCTTGGATATGTGCTGCTGTGCCCAGTTGAGAAGGGAATCTATGGACATTTCTTTTCAGACTGTCCTTGGGCCAGGATGCTCTTGTGTTCAGCTTCCTGTGGAGCTATGATGACAGCTGTGAGCCACAGCATCTGTCTGAATCCTTTGCTTTTTATATGAAAATTACTCAACTGCATTCTTTACTTTCCTAAGCCTGAACAGACCAGGCCACCAGCCTCAGAAACTCCGAGACTCTCATAAAGGGCATAATGATCTCAAAGGAGAAGCATAGGCTTGTGTGGGAGACATTTCTAAGTGAACAACTCATGGGTTTCAGTTGGCCCAAATGCCTTCAGATTTGTCTGGATGTCCATCTTTCCTCTGGAAGACATGACCAGTGTCAATCTATCTCACCATGCAGCATCTCCCCTGGCTTGTTCTTGCTCTGCAGCAGAGCATCTGGGGAATCATCCCTCAGTGCTTCTGCTAAAAGCCTGCAGAATTTAGCTCAGAAGCTATGTCCCAAACCTAGATCTACTCTTATCCAGGGGGAAAATCCCATTTACTTCTCAGCATCCCCAATCCAGAGGTTCAGCTGGCATCGGTACCTTGTCGATGAAGGAGGCAAACTTGTTGTTGAGGGTCTTGATTTGCTCCTTCTCATCCTTCTTCACCCTCTGGACATTCGGATCAATCTCCAGGTTGAGAGGTGTCAGCAGACTCTGGTTCACAGTCACAGCTGTGATAGATGGAGCCGCTGGGCCTCCAACTCCTCCAAGTCTGTAGCCAAAGCCAGGGCCACCGAAACCATAGCCAAGGCCACTGCCAGCTCCAAACCCCAGACCCACATTATTGCTGGCTCTAATGCCCAGACCAATACCATGTCCATCCCCAAAGCCAAAGGCCATCCCACTGCCAGCTCCAAAACCGGCTCCACAGCGAATGGGACGAGGCCCTACAGCTGCCATTCTAGGTGAGCACGATCCAAAGCTGATAACGCTTCGACTACCAAAGCTGCCAAGGCCCCGGAAGCCAGACCCACTGCTGCAGGAGACAGAGCTCGTCCGGAAGTGGTTCAGGTTCTGGGGGGTCATCGCTGAGTAAGAGCTGAAGTTGCCCACCCGGTGGCCAGAGCGAACTCTGTAGGAGCGACAAGACATGGTAGCTTTTCTGGGTGAGAGCTGAGGAGCAGTTGCACAGTAGAGCAAGCTAGAGCTGGGAGTCCCTTTGAGACTAGTGGATCCTTCTCACCCCTTTTATGTGTGTGTGGACCTGAGGATTAGCCCCATAAAAATGAAAAAAATCCATTTGAAGGCATTTATGAGCTTGGGTAGTTAGCAGAAACTCTTCATGCCTATAACCTCCTTCACAATGAGCTAACTAGACACACCTATTCTCATCAGGATGAGGACTGTACCATCAAACCTATAAACATTAAAAACACATAAACACATCGATATTATAGTCCTATATTTCCCCCATAAGTCCACCACAATTCCCACTATGGGGACATTAATTTGCTTTGCCTATAAATCCAAAGCTTTTCTTTTTTTTTCCTCTTCAATTCATTGCAAATGTGGCTAACCACTAGAAAGTTAGGATGGTGACAGTTCCAGACAGAGGTTCACAAGCAATGCATCTGTGCAGGTTGAAAAGATAAGGAGGTGTGCAGAGGAGAGATGGGATCTTCTAAGTTCCAAGTTTTAAAAAATGCCATGGAGAGACTGTAGCTTATTGTAGATATAAGCTGAAAGGACTTTGCAGTATTTTATATAGCCTCCATGAGCTGGTTTGGTTGTTTACATAAGAGTCGAATCTATAGCAAAAGTCATCTGGACTAGTGTAGACACACTTCTGATTTGAGACACGCAAAGGAAATTCATTCACTCCATCATTATCGAGTACCTAGTCTATACTCACAGTGTGTCTTCTAATTAGCTAGATTTCAAACCTGGCATGGGTACATGCCTGGCCTTGATATTTAATCAGTATTGCCACTGGGTATCAAATAGGCATAAAAACCTAACACATTCCAAAATGTTCCCTTAATTGTTCCTAACTAATATTGTCCACATGCTAACCTTATTCTTACAGTACTTACAGTACTGTACTCTTACAATAGTTCAGGTCAAAAATCTTGGAGTCATCCCCACCCCCACCTCCACATTGTCCATATCTCTCATTTATTAGCAAACCTACCTTCAAAAACTACCTACCTATCTTGACCCAGTTACTTTCTGCCATCCCCACTGGTACCGTACTGAATTAAACCTATCCTTCCTCATTCAGTCCACTGAGTCACCAGATTCTTCCAATACTACAGATAGGGAATTCTTTAAAAAAAAAAAAAGGGGGGAAATTGCTAAAAATAAAACAAAAGAAAACCTATTCGAACTGGGTGCCGAGATCTGAGGATTGTGGTTTGAAGCCACCCTGAGCAGAGCTAAGTCCATGAGACTCTTATTTCCAATTAACCACCAAAAAAGCCAGAAGTAGAGCTGTGGCTCATGTAGTAAGGTGCTAGCCTTGAATGAAAATGCTAAACACCCTAGCCCTGAGTTCAAGCTCTAATACTGGCACAACAACAACAACAACAACAATCCAGCTTTATTAGATCATGTCATTTCTGTGCTGAAGATCCTCCCTTCTGTGTGCCTCCCCACTTCCCTCCAGTGAGTGGCCCCGGCCTTCTACTTGTCCACCAAGCAGGCAGACACTTCCCACTTGCTGTTTTCAATGCCTGCCACATTTGCCTCAAATTGTTTCTTGGCTAGGTCTCTCAACTCTTCCACCCTTTGTTCACAGGTCATCTTTTTAGCTCCTCTAGAAGCTCCCAGCCCCATACACTGCCTGTCTGACACCGCAGGTGCGAAAACTCAAGAGCTTGCAGGGGAAACAATCAGGTCTGTCTGTTTGGAGAAATGTACCCCACTTCTATGAGGGCAGACAAAGGGCTCCTGGAGACCAAGAGGGGCACCAGAGAATCCCTGCTGGGGGTGAAAGGGGAGGGGAGAGGTGGCAGAGAAGGCACCATTGAGGACAGAAGACTTGGTACAGCGAGACCTGCGTTTGATCACAATTGACCACCTCCTGCAGGATGACCTTGGACAGTGCCACACTGAAGGTCAGGTAGGGAGAGTGTTCTGCTCCTTATGGATCCAGGCAATAAGGAGGCATGGCTGGAGAAAGCTTTAAAGACCGACACACAATCAACTAGTACTCTGATTTGGGGGAGGGAGCAGTACTGGGGCTTGAACCCAAGGCTGACTAGGCAAGCACTATACCACAGTGTCATGCCCCAACTCTTTTTTGCTTTAGTTATTTTTCACCTAGCAGCTCCTATTTTTCCCTGAGACAGACCTCAGCCCATGATCTGCCTTCTAGGTAACTGGGATAATGCGTGTGACTCACCATGCTCATCTTACTGATTGAAATTGGGTCTTGCCAACTTTTTGCCTGGCCTAGGCTAAAACCATGATACTTTCCATCTTGACCTCCCAAAGAGCTAGAATTCCAGGTGTGAGTTACTGTGCTCAGTGTCCTTTGACCATTCAACCATATTATTTGGGGGCAATACTGAGTTTTGTTTGAAGTCAGGACTTTATGCTTGCTGGGCAAGTGTCCTACCACTTGAGATGTCCCCCTCACCCCTATCTGCTTCTAATTCTCACCACAGCCTGACCATTCTAAATAACTTCAGTAGACAAATACTACCCTGCCCCGTGGCATACCAGTGATCTCTGGGGAACCACTGAACCTCTCTGAGCCTCGGTTTCCTTACATGTGACGTGGAGTTATTCGATGTGATGTGCTCAGGGATGTGCAGTGTGTGGAGCCTGGTAGTTGTTCTGTGCTCTTACCTTTCTTTTCTCCATTCTTCCTTCACTTTTGAGCAACCCTGCCTGATCTCATCCTATCCCTCATCCCCCTCCTGCTTCCATGGCTGAGACACCAATTTCTCCATTAGGCATTCCCAGGCTCTCCCAAATCTGGGTTTCCTTGGTCTCTGAGTAGGCTTGGCGGGTGGAGGGTGATTGGGAGCAGTCATGCATAACTGTGTCACCATCAGCACTTTATAGTTCTGAGACATGATTTTGCCAGACGATGCAGGACAGCCACTTACTAAGGGGTGGAGGGTGGGGTGAGGGGGAGGAGTTGCCCTGGCAATTCTGGGCTGGAGGTCTGGCTGCTGCCAGTTTGTCTTGCTGTCTTCAGTCAGCCTAAGCGTAATCCCTGAGATCTGCTGGCTTTGCACGCCCTGCCACCGCCACTGCCGCACTCCTCTGAGTTGTTACCATGCCCTAATTGCTGGGTCATCATGATGCTATCTGTGCAGAGGGAGGAAGAGACAGGCTGAACAGGAGGGGAGGGAAACCCCATTTCTGGCTGTCCGAGAAGCCTGGGTGCTCTGTGTCTGGGCGTGTGGGTGTGTGGGAAGAGGAGTAGCAGGGAAACCCCACATGCTGTTGCAAGCTGCCTTCTGCAAATTGCTTCTGTTCAGCCTGAAGATGAGTTTATGCTAGAACAGGACACTGGCCAGGGCAGCTCTCAGGCTTGGACTTGCCCCTGCTGGGAAAGCATGCTGGAAGTCCCCTAGCAGCAGAGACTGGGCAGGGCAGGCAGGAAGGCTGAGTCCATCCTAACCAGCAACTCGCCTCTCTGCCCTGTCAAACTGTGGTAGGGAAAGCATTATTCAGGTTCCAAAGGCCTCCAGAGGGGGAAGTAAAGTGTCCCCAAGGGTCCCTCTTGTTGAGTGGCCCCTCCTCCAGGAAGGATGAGTTTTTCAGGTTGTCCACAATACAGCTGTTCACCTCCACAAACCTTCATCATGTGTTCGTGTATGCTGAGATGACTGGCAACAAGAATCTTCTTTCTCCTTCCTCTTCCTTCTTCTCCTTCTTCTTCTTCTCTCATTATTGAGCTTGAACACAGAACCTAGGCACTGTCCCTTAGTTTTTCACTTAAGGTTGGCACTCTACCACTTGAGCTCTACCTCTACTTCTGGCTTTTTTGCTGGTTAAGTGGAGACAAAAGTCTCTTGGGTTTATCCACCTATGATCTTCAGATCTCAGCCTCATGAGTAGCTAGGATTACAAGTATGAGCTACCAGTGGCCGGCCAGGGCAGCCTGTTATTGCCATCAGATTCAGTGACCTGGGTCTCCACCTCTGCTCACAGTCTCATTCCCAAAGCCATTGTCCTCAACCTTAATCCCTACCAACAATCTTTCTGCACTCTGGGGAGCCCTTGCTGGGGAGAGACAGCAATTGGTGGGCTGTGGGCCTGGGACCAGGAAGTGACTGGGAAAGGAAGGTCCCTTGGAGGGGCAGAAGTGCCTGGGAGGGGCCACTGGAGCAGGGAAGTCATGTCAGGGAGGAAGGACAGGGGCTCAGGGCACTTTCTGAAGAGACAGAGCTCCATGCTGAGTCCTTCACCCTCCCCAAGCCTCTTTTGGCTATTCCAGTCCTGTCCTAGCTGGGGTGCTCTGTGAGAGGTTGGGGTGAAACTTGGTGCATGAAAGTTCTGGCTTTGTGTAGACACTCCTCTCCCCATTCAGGAAGCTTGGAAGTGTCTCAGTGAGGACCCTCAGGTAGCCTTTGTGACAGGAGTCTCCCTGAGGCCCACTAGCAGTCCATTAAAGGCTCCAAGTTTGGCCTCTCAAGTGGTGACTTCTCTATTCCCCAGACTGGATCTACCATACAATATTTGACTGAGTTGTATGGCATGAGGGCTACCAACAGGGCCACCACCAGGAGGCACTTTTGCCCTACCCTACCTGAGTCATCGCTCAGTGGCGGAGAAGGGAGAATGGGCTACCGTGGGACTGAACTGAGGCTGCAGGGGGCTCTGTGGACCTAGGAGAGGGCGTGTTCAGGCCTCTGAGTTTGTGTCCAGATCTGAGCAGCCACACCCCTTCTGGGATGAGTAATAGTGATGGTCCCAGACATTCTCTCTTCCCTAGCAGATGATCACTAGGGCCAGGGTGCTGCAGAACTCAAGTCTCAAAATGATTGACAGTTGTCAGGCCCGGTGCCCCTTCAGGGAGGGAATGAATCTTTACCCACTTAAGTGGGTTCTTTCCTGAACATCAGGTAGTTGTCTGTGGGACAAAGATGGCCAGCCCTCCTGGAATCTCTGTGTCTGCCTGTCTCTAGGCCACA